CCACAGAGTCCAGGTAGAGGTTGTGGCAGCATTGGATTCACTGGAACTGGAAACTTATGAGCAGAACTAAACGTTGTTCTTTCATTTATCATCCCTACTTCTTTGCACACTCTGTCTACTACTCCGAGGAAGTCTCTAACCACCAAGAATATTCTAAACGGGTGCGCTTCTTCTTTCGCCGAGTTTCCATGGAAATACTCCGTGATCTCTTTTACAAGAGATAATGCGACGCTCTCTTGAGCTTGTACTCTGATGATATCTTCCTCAGCTCTTTTCAGAAACGTGTTCATCGATTCCGAAAATCTCTGATTGCTGCTTTCTTCTGTTATTGTTGATTGGATTTTGATAACCTCGTTAATCTTGGCAATGCCTTGAGAAAGCTTGGAGACGTAGCTGCTTAGTACTTCTGAGTCCATTGCAGCAGCTTTCTTGACGTTACTAAGCTCTGAGCATAGACTTGATACAACTTCGAGGCCAAGTTTCCTGCATTTCATGTCATCTGTTTGGGTATTGTTACCTGAGAGACGTGTGCCTTCTGCTCGGATTATCTCTTGTACAACGAAATGCAAGAGAGTTGTTTTCCCATCAGCGCCTTTGACATCGACGAGCTTGAGGAGTGTGTCGAGCTTGAATGCATGTGCATCCCCTCGGTTTGTCCCAACGTTCATCCGGTTTCCTGTCTTTAGAACCGCTTCTAGAAGCTTTAAAAACATCCTGCTGTTCCTCAGTTCCTCACAAGCAGCCTAACCAAAGAATGTGAATGAAGTCATGATCCGTGATGGTACAATCAATATGGCAACAAGAGAGAAGATTGCTATATATGTACCTCAAGAGTCTCAAAAGATTTCTTCAGGTATTCAACTTCGGACTCAAAGTTAGCTACATAGAGCATTGCATCAACTCTTTTAAAGGCAAAAGGGATGTCTAGCATTGCCTTAAGGAATTTCTCAGCATGTCCAAGCTTAACGGACGAATCATCCTTGTACTCTTTCAACTTGCGCTCTTCCTCTTTTGTCGGCGCCATCTTCAGTAAGCTCTCAAGAAGTTCAGTCCCAAGTGTATCAGCATTGCCTGAAAAGCATAGCAAAGCACAGGAATATAACACTAATAATATCTCAACCATGATTGAAAATGAAGCGTTCAAAATAACTTCATTGAGTCACTGAAAACCCCTCAAACTATCATACTTAGCGATGTATTAATCATTCCGGCGGGGGGAAACGTGAAATTATGTATGTGACATGATAGTTTACCTTCAAGAAGAGCCTCGCAAACTTCTTCGATAGTGACATTGAGTGCGCGAAGCAAGATCGCAATATTTTGAGCCTTCTTAGGGTCCAAGACTCTGTTCTCTTGGCTTGGGCTCGGGAGAACACATCTTGCAGTTTTCTGACTCTGATTTGGTTTGTGATCTAACGACTTTGCGACAAACAACGTTTCAATCATCTCTTCATCTAACCTGCAATCACATCAATAATTTCAACAACCACATTCTCAAGAAGCATAATGTATCAAAGACATTATGGCATGAAACTCACTTGAAAGAGCTTGATCGAAGATGATCCCAAACCATCTCACGATCTGAACTTGCTCTGACTTTATCCCAATGTAACGCCTTTAGCTTCGGTTTAGGAGTTTCTTCGGCTGGCTCAGTGGTACAGAACGTCTCTGCAGTCTCCTTTGGAAATGTTACCGGCAGGTTTTCGGATGGGATCACAAAAGGATTTGAAGGTGGCGTGAGAGAAGGCGGTCGGGACGCCTTAGGAGTCACCTGATTCCGTTGTGCCCATGACGGAAATGGTGGAGGAGGTGGCGGAGGTGGCGGCGGCACCCACGAAGCTCCGATTGCAGACACCGGAGGCTGTAACATTTGAGATGAAATGTACGAAGTCCGTGGAGATACATCTAAGCTATGGCTAAAATCTCTATCCGGAGAAGAGGACAGAGATGATGACGAGGCAGACTGCGAATGTCGGGGAGATGTGACGGGTGACTTGTGAGAAGCTTTATCCGGTGAAGAAGAAACAGAAGACGACGGTGAACGAGACCGCAATTCGTCTAACTGCTTAAGGAAACCTTGTCCCGGAGAATTAGAAGAAGAAGACAGTAATTGAGATTGCAACCCTTGCCGGAGATTACTCATAAACGCCGGTAATGCCTCCGGAGATTTCTGGAAGCATCTATAAGGTGATGTAGAAGCAGAAGAATGCATAGGGGATCGCATGTAAGCTTCTGGAGTATCGTTTGGTCGTCTTTCTGGGGAAGTAGAAGCAGATGATAGCGTCGTAGATCGAGAACTTCGAGGAGAGTCGTCGAGATTCTGGATAGAGTTTTCCTTTTTGTTATTCATTGATCTGTCTGGTGAAGTTGTCAGAGATGTAACCGTCGGCGATCTCGAGATCTGACGTAATCCGTCGGCGTTTTTCACCGGACAAAGTCCCGGCGATAAAGAAGCTAGGGACAGTGATGGAGACCTCACGAATCGATAATCTGTCAACTGTGAGATCTTTCTCGGGGATGATTCAGAGATTCCCGGAGAAGTCTTCACCGGCGGCTCTGGTGCGGAGATTACCGTAGGCTTAGGTTCGGATCTCTTAGGACTCATTGACGGAGAAATACTGATGAAGGTCGATCTCCCTGGAGAACCTGAGCTTGATGATGAGCAAGAAATAGTGTCATCGTTCACAGATCTAGGGTTTTGATTCGGAACCGCCGCGAAAACTCTCCGAGACTCGGATCCGAGTTCGCGCCCGCTCGCTGAACCTCGGGGAGAGTAGAATTCGTCTTCTTCCTCTTCCCCTATCGAACCAACCTCTGGGTTTAGCCGGAAACTCCGTTTCATGAGAGGAGGAAGAGGCTGGAGATCTGGAGATTCCAGTTTCCGTGAGCTCGAACTATTATTGCTCCGATTACTATCCGATTGATCTTCAACTCCTCTTTGATTCACCATCGTTCCCAAGTAAAGAAACTCGGAGCTAGTGTTGGTGGCGCTCGTCGTTGTCGTCCTCTGCTTACTATTTCTACAATCCGCATTGCGCCGTACCGGAGGATTCGCCGGCGGAGGAGGAGGATAAACTCGACGGCTACTGTCGGTAGTCCATGTCTTGTTATCATCGGGTAAGTTACGATCCTGATTTCTTCTCCTTCTTCGCCAATAGAGCAACGCAATAAGTGCGGCGACTAAAGCGGCGGAGGATACGGCGGAGATGGCGACGATAAGGAGTTTTCGAGAATTAGGCGGCGGATTAGTGGCGTGAGGGACGATGAGAGAGGAGATATTGGCCGGGAAGGAAGCAAAAGAAGCCGGAGAAGGAGGCGGAGGAGATGAAGGGTATAAAGGGAAGAAGGGAGTTGCAGTTGGGTCTGAAGGAGGATTGGTAGAAGAGAAAGGAAGCTTAGGAAGCGGCGGTGACTGAGGAGTTGACGGTGGTGGTGAATCTACGGGGAAGAAAGGCTCGTGGAGAACTCGACGGTCGGCGAGCACCAGATCGG